ATGGTTTCAGTGTACCTTTGGATGGTATGATACACAAATATTCGGCTAATCCCTAGCTTTTTCTATGGAACAAAAACGTCGACTGGCTCCTTACCTACTTTGTACAGTGCAATTACTGCAATCATATTTATTCTCTTTAGTGCCCCACTCCGTTTTCAAAACAAATAATTTTTAAACAGAAAACATACAATAATGGCGGGAAAGAAGTCTATTTTTTATCGTAGAAGCTAATGTTCTAAATTCAAATGTTTTTTTTTTCAATGTATGTAAACAGCCAGTAATAGAATTTATAGCTAGACTATGTATAATCAAATTCTGCACCGATGGTGTAAAATTTTATCAACATTTTTTACGACTTTACCAAAATTCCATATAAAATGCTTAACATTAAAATAGTAAACCCGACCTTGATTATTTCCGTCCATCTACTAACTCGCTACACTGACTCAGCGAAATACAAGCCTTGGTTACCTGCAAAAAATGCTACCTACACAATTCTTTCTGCCACATGGTGTTTAGTGTCCATTTTTTCCATTCCATCCAAAACCATCTTATCTGTGGGCAGGTGATACATTAAATATGTAACGGAAAGACGACCTGTCTCGGATATGCATCAACAATGGTATCCAATGGTTGTATTCCAAGAAGTTACATTATAAAATTGGCACAAAGGCTCCTTTACTCCGCCTTAGATAACTGAGAAACATATCAATGAAGATGATACATACCTATTTTATAAAGGGAATTTAAGCTATTTTATTGTAACAGCGGAATTAAAGATCAAGTAACTGAAAATATTTTAAGCATTTGGTATTAAGAATAATTTTTCGATAGAGATGAGAAAAACAAATTCTCATCTCTATCGAAAGTTTCAATATTTGTAATAATATTTCTTTCGGATGTTTGGGTGAACATTGATGAGAATACGCTCTGCAGTAGCGAAAAGTAACAAGCGTTTGAAAGATTCGTCAGTCCTGTTAGGTCCTGGGCAGCTGTGGTTAGAGCAGTCGCCCGGATTGCGAAAGGTCATGGGTTCGAATCCCATCTCAGGGTGCCAGGGACCAAGTGGATTTTTTAAGCATTTTGTATTAAGAATAATTTTCAGTATAGCAATGTAAATGCGAAATTAATCAAATATGAAAATGTGCTATTCAAAGCTAACCAATAAAGACTTTATTTTTGCTAACCAGTTTGTAGAGAATCAATTATCTTTGCTAATAATAACTTGCGTGAAACGCCTACGAAATGATATCATAAGTAGTGTGGTTATTGGCTTGCGACTGATTGTATTAGCAACACTTAAGTCACGTCGAAATTTATAACTAAAACAATGTTTTTATTTTGAGAGAGTGTGGCGTAACAACTTACTGGCTCTCATCTGAATTGCAAATGGCGTCAGTCGGCAGTTAGGTAGGTGTGGCAACATCGCGTGTCCCGGCTCAGGGCGAAAATCGGCAACCTCGCATCATCGTGCGTATTTTTATCAAAGTAACAATCGCTAAGTCATCTGTTATCAAGACTTTTGAGCGTTTTGCTGGGCTGCGTTTGGCGGTTTATATTATGTACCTATATAGTTAAATGTATGTTAAGTTGGAATATAAACTTTTGGCACGATTTGAGACGAGAAAATATTTTTCGTCCGAAATAACAACAAAGAGGCGGAGTTTTGGCGCCGTCTTCATTGCCTTTGGGGCTTCTCGTATAGATCTTACCTACCTTACTTACTTTCGCGTTGTACTAAAAGGAAGAGAAATTATTATCTATAGATAGCATATGGAGTTGAAAAGAATAATTTAGGTGCTTACATTCACTGTTTACCTATTTAGATATCTCGCGTTCATCACTGACTACATAAAAGGAGTATGTCTACAGTTGATATGTTCTGAATTTTTATAATTGTTATTAAAACTCTTTATTGGCCGCGGACTATTTCTATTGTCACTAGACTGACTGACTAGATTTGGTGTAATGAGAAAATTTAGAAAAAAGAAAGTTAGAGATTCATTGATCACATACATTTATAAAAAATAGGAAGAAAACAGTAAGGAACAAATTTAGGTCCATATAGACCCATCTCAGCAACGACCTATGTGTCATTTCTAAATGATACCCTTTGCTTGTCCTGTGTTTAAGAAACTACGTAAAAATAATAATTAATTCTTCAATTGAGAGAATTGCAACTGTCACTCGAGACCCAAATAATTTTCGTCTTGACTAAAGCGACAGTTGGCAACAGACACATTTGTTACCTCAGAGTAAAACAGCCCAAATTGAATTCTAAATTACAAACTGTTTAGTAAAGTTTAAATTTGCGTCTCATAACGAATAGGTTTCCCAAAAAAAATATCAACCTTCCAGAGTTTTCGGCTCACAGGGTGAGAGTAGGATTTGCGACCCGACCCCAACCGCTCATACCACCCCTTCCTAACTTTCAATCCCTCGCCTCTCACCCCCAAAGGACCTTGAAGGGATTCCGGCCATTACAGAATCAGCTGTTCCAATTTATCGAGTAACTTTATTACCATAGCACTGAGTAAATTTCTTATATTTTCGAATGTTTTGCATGCGCTAAGTCATTCTTATGTTGAATATTCAAAAATAATACATATTTGTCTCAAACGATTTGTTAAAATTAATCATCATACAACAAACCTTAGTTTGTTTAGTTAGTTTAAGATTAAGAAGCTATTCGCTAAGTTACAACATGTTTGTTGTATGTTTTCCATTCGCTGCTCTGCTGAGTACCTAATACAAAGCTCCTACCTAAACGTACAAGATTTAAATCGTAATAAAGTGTTTAAAGTCGATTTTAGTATTATTCAGTTACGAACAACAGCTGCCTGATTTCTTTTAAACGTATAAAATCTCGGCATTTGTAATTCTATTTTTAAAATTGTAATTTAAAAATTAAGCTTTCAGTACTTTAACGTTGTTGTCGCTAGGCTCTTCAATAAAAATGATGTATCCCGAGTATCATTCAAGATCAGATGGGAGCTCAGCACTTCTGCGGCCGTTGCCAAGCAACGAGCGACCTCTACGGTATCCTAAACTGCTCTGAAGCAGTGTTGGTCGCCAGATCTAAAATCCAATTCAGCGCTAGAACGATAAAAGTAGCTTTTTAACCTAAGATGTCACAAATAAATGGTTTATAAAAAGCTATATAATATCCCGTTAAATTGACTGTATTTTTTGTTAGATTAAATAAAAAACACCCGAACAACAACTAACAATAATATGTCTGCTTATTCATAGATCGAAAAACGATGCTTTTATTTTATAAAAAACGAAAGCGCTATATTTTAATAAGCACTAAACACACCAAAAAATTCTAGATGTAGCGCCCAAAGCGTTTAAATGGCAGTACTGAAGCGATTAATAGGCTAGTTGACAACTTTTTTTTTTATTTCATTATTAACATCTGAGAAATAATGTCGAAGTAACAGCATGTCTGCGATTAATAGTTTCGGAGATACGGTGCTGTGTTTGTAGAACTGCTGCTAGTTGGCCGAAAACGCTACCTACAAATTCAAGGCACTCAGTGACGTCACATGGTGCTACAGTAGCGAAAAATGTAAGGGCGTCTGGAACATTTTTGTAATATCTTTATTATTTGTGCGTTTATGTTTATAGCTGTTATAATGAAAGTTGTAACATTTTTTATATCTAATTTAATGCCTTATGTATTTTAGCAAATTTTTGTAGTAGATTTTCTCTACTTTTTTCAAGTTTTCAAAGCGTAACATTTTCCAAATCAGTGACTTAAAGTTTCTTTTGTTAAACATTTATAAGTTAAAATGGTTCATATTTTTCGAAGATATAACAAAAACCTGTATTTTCACTTGTAGGACACAAGCCTATTGGAACCAATCGGGACCCTTGTAGGTAATATAGTGGAGACCGACCTTGTGCGTCCCGATAATTTCGTTTCGGAAAATGCCTTCTAGGCTGTTATTACTTAGTAATTACTGGAAACTGCCTCATTTTTCTTCAGAAATATAATTAAGCTAACATTGTGGGAATACTGGCTCCAAAGGGAACGCAATTATTGACTTGGACTCTTAAAAATACGTAACTAAAAGATGTTGTTCATTGATCTTGAGATCGAGAGCCTAATTTCTTCGTATTTATAATTTAACTTTTCTACCACCATGGTATACGCTCCATACTTACGTGTATGTAAGTTACATACATCATACACACGCATGATGGCCACCATATTATAAACGCATTTCAATTTAACCATGTTTTTGGTTCGCTTTAGTGTGTCACTAGCTGGTTATCTGTTTGTTTTCTGTCATCTTGAAAACAATAGATAGTCTCTAATTTCTACGAAAAAAAATGAGCATCTTGCGTCTTCGCTTCGTCATATGATTTTTCTTTCTTTCAGTTCATTTTTCAGCAGTGCTGCCAGATAAGTTTTATTTTTCCCATTGTTGTCCCGGTGTTCTCAAGGGCTGGTCATGGGTGAAGAAACATTTATTACCTCGAGCTCCTCCGTGCTTCGGAAAGCAGCTAAGCGTTAATCCCGGCTGCAATTGCAGTCGTTAATATCCCACGCGTGCGGTGCCTTTATGGCGTTATCATTATTTGATTTCGGCCACAGTGAAGACTGCAATTATATACAATCTCAAAATACGCATTTAGTAGCACATCAGATTAGAATAAAAAGCATTTAAGCTATTATTTTAACCCTCAATAAAGGGGGAAGAATCCGGGATAGGAGAGCTCCGGAGCCAACCCCAGTTTGGGACCCTATTAAGGTATTCCCTCTGAGTGCGTCACCGATTGCCCCAAAGTCTACGTCCTACAGAGCAGTGAGAGCGAGAGTATAGCCTGATATAAAAGCTGGTCCCGGCGGAGGGCGACCGCGCAATGTTAGGCAGCGCTCGTGATAGTTCTCCAACGCATAGTGGCCCACCTGACTGTGAAGAGAGTTCTCCTCCCGTTTTCTTTCCGCGCTTCCTTATAATACGAAATAACGTCCTTGTAAAAGTTGGCGTCCAAGCGCTACTCTTTTTCAGTGATGGTAGGATGGGGACTATTCATTCTGAATCCGATGCAGATAATTAACTAAAGTTTCAGCCTGTAGGTGAGAGACCCATGACTCCCTAGCCACTGTTGGGAGTAAAGGCCGGATTGCACTTATGGTTCTAACCAAGCATTTTAGCAATAAATTTTAAACTGGATGAACGAGAGTTTTATACTACAAATGTAACAGTTTACTTCTGTTATCTTAGTTATTTTCAGAATAGAAAACGCAAAAAGATTTCTTTAAATATGCTTGTAGGGTAGTCCGTGTACTTTCTTAAATAAATAGGAAATAAAAAAAAAGCAGAATTAACCGTTTTACGTTATTTTACCCATTAATTAAAAACGTGTGTTATTTTAAAGTTGTTTTATTTTTTAATCATATTTTTTTCGGGATTGCTACCATGCTGTTTTAATTTGATCGTATACTAGTTTTACAAAATAAAAACCTCAAAAAGATAACTTTAATTATGCTTGTAAGTGTAGTCTCTGTACCATTTTTAAATAAAGGTCATAAAAACAAGCAAAATTACCCGTTTTTCGGGTATTTTACCCATTAATAAGTATTGCGCTATAATTGTTTTATTTTAGAATAATAGTTTCCTTCAGGATTGTTAACTAGTTTTATTTCTCTCTAGCTTTCCTCTAACGGCTTCGTCCTCGTGGTCTTGTATTATAGATAAAAACCTTCCTTTTGAATGACCCTGTCTATGAAAAAAAACACCGCATCAAAATCCGTCGCTTAGTTTTAAAGAATAAAACATACATAGGGATTATAGGGACAGAGAAAGCGATTTTGTTTTATATTATGTAATGATAGTGATGCTACATAACAGAAATAACTAGGCAGGTGATTGCAAATGGTTTATTGAGAAAGACAATGTATGTATGGCATAAACAGTCCCATTTTCGTTTCTGTGTGTGTGTGAACAATGACTATGTTGCGCTCCCGCAAACAACCCAGTCGTCTACACTATCTCACATGTCATTCGCCGTACCCACCCACACGCATTGCAATAAAAAAAGCTATAAAAATATAAGGACAAATGATTCGTTTCGCCACTTGTCAATTTGCTGTCACATTGAATAAAGCATGTGGGTGAATGTTTTCTACATTTGTAATAATAATTTTTACCTACTTTATTTTTCTACTATTTAGAAGCAACAGCCAACAATCTTGTTTCATAATCACATACAACTGGCTTTGTTATATTCAATACCTGTATTGAGTAGGTCCCATGTATTTTAATTGATTCAGTGTTTCATCGTTTTAAAAATAATATGACTTATCGGTACTTCGTTGCGGTTTCTTGAAGCAGGTTTTTGTAAATGACACCTATCTACCTATAACTTTAAATAAGCGAAACAAGCAATAATCTGATTCGTTACAAAAAATGTTTGTAGCTGATCCGTCTCGATCGCGTGTCGATAATCGAGAAGCGAAGATTTTTGTTTCCCTTCTTTCAGAGTATCTGTGTAGATACACAGATACATATAGATATATGTGTCACATGATTAAGGATTATTGGAATCTGCTGAGATTGCTAAATCAATATTTTAAGTAAAATTGAGTTACGGCTTGTTTTTAATAATATCTACAGTTACAAAAATCAAGACCTTTGTATATTCCGTGAACAGATAAATGTCATTTTTCAATATTGTCTCGGGTCTGGGTTTTGTGGTACAATCGTTGTCTAATATTCTATATTATGCAAGGACTATGGCACTGAATTTATATAACTTAGTATATTTGTCACCTTGGAATCTAAACAATATAAGTATATTTAGTAAAAAACTTGTTTTAGGAATGGTGAATTTCCACTGTTATAAGGTTTTTAAAGGCTTTCTTAAAGTCCGCGTGGAAGATTACTCAAATGAAAAAACACAACATATGTAACTTAACAGTGCCTATAGAAGAATAAAAAACTTGTAGTTTTAAAACGCAGACACAAAATCACATTCCCTCCGTGAACACAACTTTTCAAAACGCCTACCTATTTTTTTTGGTAGAATCGGTTTGTCGCTTTTACATATTATTTACTTTCTCGTTCATTAATCTCCACTTTTAATTTATTAGCTATTAACTACATGCTTATTTCATCACATTATGTTAAAACTTTCAGGAAGTCACTTGTTCGCTGAACCTTTTAGCCTGTATTTATTTGTATACGTATCGCTCCGTGGAAATCTGAAGTACGACTGCCGCGAAATTCATTCAACAAACCGAGAGGATGTGGGCGGGGCGTGCGGGACGTGGCGTCATTGGGCGAACGGCCGCTGCAAAATAATGGCTGCCGTCGCATTCGGCCAATGAGCAGCGCGCGAGCTGAACGCGCGGTCCGTCCGGCGACTGACGCGACGTTGCCAGCTTTCCCAAAAAAAAAATACCAGATTCGACCTTCTTAGGACTCCGTTTTTTTTTGTTTAGCGCGTTATCATTCGGGAACGTGCACCGGGGACCTTATCCGTTTGTGAGATGGTGCTCTCGGTTCGCAGGTGGACTGCTCGTGTTATGTTTTAGTGTACTATGGTTTGGTCAACGCCATCAGGAGAGGTGTTGATAGACATCGTCACAAGGTACTTATCGGTTCTCTCTCATTACCTTAACTGAGTCATGTGACAGCGTGGCTCCTTACCTCGTGGAGATGACTCGTGTGACGTGTCTCTTATCAACACCTTGTTTACCTATAGAAAATCGATTATTAGCTAGGTGGGTACATTTGTTTGACTTGCATGCTATTTTTGTTTAAGAATTCCAAACTAGTGGAAAGATTTCAATGATGTATTCGGGTTGGTCACAGAATTGATTATGTTATGTTATCTACTTCTGTAAGGATATGTGGTTACGCATGAAGAAAAATGTTATATTAGGCAAATCCGTGTATAAACTTACTTCTACTTAAGAAACATTTGTCTTTATTGAAATATTCTTTAACAAACATAAACTGCAGACCCGATAGCTTAACGGTTATCCTAAAATTTATCATGATCTATAAACTCATGTATAGAGTAATTTGAATTGAAATTTAAATAATTATGAACACACAGGATTCTGAAATTGGATACGCTTATCTACTTATTTCAAGTGTATCAGTAGGTAGGTTGTTATACGCAAAGGTTGCTTAGGTTTACTGAGGTTATCTTCTAGAATCCAAAGACCAAACATTTAACTTTAAAAGTCGAACTTTTTTTTTATAGTTGCAAATACATTTTATTAAGTCCTTTTCTCCCCACCCCGTTGATACAAATACCATCACTGCTGGGGCACAGACCTTCGCTATGTATGGAATCAAATCGAATGAAATGGGGAGAATAGGCCATGGACCCACCACGTGGACTCAGTCCAAATTTGTGGGTGTCCATAGCTGCGGATGCAGCTTATCGGGCTTTCCAAAGCACGGGAGATCGAGAGTATACATTTTAGGTCACCCATCCTATGGTAGCCTTTCCTTCCTCTTCGCAGATCGTACGCGCTCACCACTGCGTCATTAAGGTCCTCAAATTACTACAAATGTCACAAATCCCCAATAAATGCAGACGGATGGCAACCCTGTGTGCCAAAAAATCTGCGATGAATATTGCCCTTGACCGAACTCGATGACGGACAGATAAACGAAGTACGTACATAACGAGAACTCATGTTTACATTGAGTGGAAGTGTGGAACAATTTTAACAAGACGATGACATAAGCTGTGGAGATGAAGAAAAAAACATTAGGGAGTAGGAAACAATTAATAGTGGTTATGGTGTCTGTGTAGTGTGTGTTGTGTTCATGTGGAATTATCGTGATTTAATAAAATCTCTGTCGAAATGTGGAGAAAATCCTTTTTTTAACAACTTGACGATCGGTGTTGAGATGAGGTTTAGGTCTTCGGCGAAATCAGAATCTCTATAATTTGTCATTCAATTTACTTGATTCGATTCTTACCGTGTAACGTAATCAATATCATTAAATTATTACGTTTTGTTTTTGTAGTATCTGCCAGTCCCTGACTACATAGTCACTAATAGTGACTAGTAGTTTCAGCTTGCATTATTGCGGCCACTGTAGCAAGCGCTAAATCATCATGAACTTGAGTGGAGATAGAAGATGTCGTACTAAAATCTGATGAGATTAAACGTTGATTCTGCGTGGTCGTGTCTCTTATTAAATTGTAATTTTCTACGAGTTTACCTTAGCGCAGTCTCGCTAATCTTGATTTATGTGCGGGTCTGGTCCCACAAAAAAATAGCGCGGGATCCTAGTATTTTGGTATCCTGGTATCACGGTATTGCATTCCCTAGTCACTATTATTCTGGATCGTTCATTGTAACTACGCTAAGCTGATGTTTCCTGCTCCTTATGCAGTCATACTGGGCCTGTTTCTTCCGTGAGGTTCTATCCACAAGGAACGCCTGTTCTCCAGCGGTGGACATGATAAATTATTCTAAAAGTACTCGAAAAATATTACGAATTCACGTCATGAGATATCTTAAGATGTTATAAGTTTATTATTTATGATAAACTTGGCATTTACAATTATGATGGTTATGTACATTTGTGACTTCGCTTATGAAATCTTTTTAAATGTCTGTAATGGTATGGGAAGTAGAGCCTAAAACTTGGTGACCTTGTTTACTACAAAGTGTATTTAACAGACATACAAGATAATATGTCTGTGATAGCTGATAGTTATCATTCCACAGATCTTAACTCTATTATATATCAAGGATCCTTTAAGGGAGTGTTAATACTTATATATTACTTTACAAGCATTAAAATCTAGATGGATCTGCATAGTTTAAAATTCTAAGAGCTCTCGATAGCTCTGTTGTTTCTTATACAGAAGTAAGTACCTAGGAATATTTCTTTTGATTACACGTGACTTCGGATAAGGCTACGGAGAACTCCGTTTTTTCCATCAGATATATGACAGTCTTTGTATTCTTATTTTTATTTCTCCTGAGTAGTTGTGTTGTGAGTTAACCTCGCGTTTTTCTACTTTCTTCGTAAATTACAAGCTATCGATGGTATTGTGAACATTCCACGAACTACGATTTCTATTTTAACATTAGCACCTTCAAAGTTTTGAAATCTCAATAGCTTGTTTCATATGCATAGACGTACGTAAACCACTATAGTAATAGTGGTTTACGTACGTCTATGCATATGAACAAAAGGAAAGTTTTTGACAGTACTTTGTTCACAAACGTAAAACATCTACGCCAATCAACGTTAGACGTTAGTTTTAACAACTGTCAATGAATGTCAAAAGATTTGTTAACTTTGAGACGAAAATAATGTTAGGTGAAATTTGACCTAGTCTTGGATTTGTTTTAAATTGCTAACCAATAATATCGCTACTTACTACATCTTATATAAACATTCTTCGCATCCGGTAGTCCCTGTGTCTGTAGACTTTTAAATTCAACCCTTTTTTATCCCTTTTAATATAGAACTAACTAACGAAGATTTATCACAAATAATAGGCTCGAAAAAAAGTTTCTTCGCGGTTATATATGAAAATTCAAAATATTTTTAACAAATATTCTTAACGAAAAATGCTAAAAAAAAAAACACTTTGTCCCTGACACTCTAAAATGAGCTCTCTGCTGTAACCACCGAGCTACCCAGGATTAACAGGACTGCTGAATTTTTCAAGCACATGTTACTTTTCGCTACTACAGAGCGAAAGTGTAGCATCGTCAATACAAAATTGATCAAATGTTATGGTTTTTTTTTATAAAGTTTATTTACATTAACTACCATTTTGTTCGATAACCGAAATATCTGTAGTGAAAACGCTTAAACGAAATTTTTGCTACTGTCACAGAAACTACACTTGTAATAAAATTTTAAAATATATCGATATTATTCATAAGATTTACTCATTTTGACAGTAGTAAAATCAAATGAAAATCACACATTTTCCTAACTAGAATTCGGAGTTATCTTCTCTTAAAATTTAAACATTATAATGTTACCGAAGCAAGCCAGATACAAATGGTGTAGCCAGAAAAACTGTATATCAAGTTTATGCATACTATATGCGAAAAGTTTTCTCCCCCAACCTAATAGGTATGTCAAAGACAATAAGCAATTGAGTATTATATTGACCTCTAACCATACACTGTAACTGCGTTTTGTGGTCTCAATTTTCCTTATACATCTAAACAGTGTTATTGATAAATAAGATATAAAATATAATTAAACAGACTAAGCAAGCCCTACCTTTTATGAGAAAATATTGTTTCCATCTTACTGTCTTAATAGTTTAAACATTGCTTAGTCTCTGTTCAATGAATTTTGACTTTTACCAAGTGTAATTTTAGTGTTTAACTCAAACGTCAAACCATGTTTTATATAACCCTATTCATTCGTAAACTTTTTGATTTTTTTGTAGAAGTCTTTTAAAATTTAACACAAATACCTATTGTAGTAATAGACAATATTTTGAAACCATTAAAACTTTTTGACGATCATATCGTCCCAGTCGATTAACTCTACATAGAGACATAATTAAAATCTATAAAGTTTCCATGACTACAGACCATTAACACAAGCAAAGACATGAATGTCAACAATCAACATACCAATAATGCATAATAGTCTGTTTTAATCATGTCTACTATATGTATATACCTAGGGGTATTGTAATTACAACCTGCGAGCATTATCGTTTATGCATTATATGTGTTATTGAATAGTTGTTATTAAATAGTTTATGTATAGTAAGTAATAACAGATTAGTGTGTAGATTGCTTTACGTTTATTTTGAAGTTTGGTGTTCTCTGCTAAATTATTTAACGCCAAATTATACTATACTTGCTGTTCTCTAGCGACTTCACCCGCGTATGCGAAAGAATTTTTCGGTAGATTCGAAACAAACAAATACATCCTGTATATAATACTAGTGGCCGCCAGCGACTGCGTCCGCGTTTTCCATTATTTCTTCGCTCCTAATAGTTGCAGCGTGATGTTATATAGCCTAAAGCCTTCCTCGATAAATGATCTATTCAACACAAAAAGACTTTTTCAATTCTAACCAGTAGTTCCTAAGATTGGCGCGTTCAAACAAACAAACTCTTCAGCTTTATAATATTAGTATAGAAGTATAGATTAGTATAGATACTGCCTCCGTATTTGTTTGACATACCTACTTAACACTGTGCGAGGCATGTTCATTGATTTATTTTTAAGATCATCTGTTCTATTGACATTTCTTATCTTTTATCAAATCAGAATTATTTCTTTATCAGAGGGATTTGTCTTTGAGGCTATCGAATTGATAGTAACAATTGAATATAGCATTCGCGAAAGTGTTATAGGTGTAGGAAGTAAAAATTAGAAGATTTTTTCGATCGTAGAGGTTATGCAACTTTCACAATTATTAGTCTTCGGATTAATGACAAAAAAAATGATTTCGCATTAATCTCAATTGTTACGCTACTGTGCCGTATAGTGATTGTTTAGAGACCCTTTCTTTCTGTTTTATCCTATCCATATAAAACCTTACATACTAAAATGCATGATCATTTAAATGTAATCCAAAAGTATATACGTGTGAAGATATAATTTAGGATCTGCGGAAGTACT